CACAGCGCCGTGGCGCCTGTCGCGTCAGCCACGTCCTGCATCGGGGCATCGGCTCGCTTGAGGGGGGCACCTGCTCGCAGCAAATGCTTCAAAATATCGCGGTGTCCTTTCCTGGGATCTCGCTAAGGAAACATACCATAATAAGGGAGCCACATTGTTTACTAGCATGGTTAACCAACATTCAGTTCCTTAACAACAGGCAAGTTTCTGCGCAGAGATCAGCAGCGGCGTGGCCTTGTTAAGGGTCTCGCGGCTTAGGTCGGCCTTCGCCTCGGTCAAAACCTCCACGCAACCCAGGTGACCGTTCTGGCAGGCCACGTAAACGGGCGTCGCGCCAGCCTTCTGTGCCTTGTTCAGATGCGCCTCCTTGCGAGGGCAGTGCAAGCAAAGCAGCTGGAGGACTTCGAGGTGCCCTTCTTGTGCCGCCACGAACAAGGGCGTCGCCGAATCCTGGTCCTTATGCAACCGCTACACAGGGGCTGCCTAAGCACTGCCCCTAGCACACAGCAGCTTTGCCGTTCTACTCAGCACAACATCAATGGCCAACGGCTCTACATGTGCCCGAAGAAGCTTCAACAAGAGGGTTGGGCGGAACATTCATTTCTTCTAGGGTCATCAACCAGCAGCATGGTGCACCACGTTGACATGCAATTCATGTTTTCTCTCTTCTTGGCCAACATGATGGCATCACTTCATCATCAGCACAATCACCATCAGCACAATCACCATCACCATCACCACCAGCATCATCAACATGCTATCATCATTTCACCGTCGTCACCACCCTCAACATCGTCGTCACCATCGCAATCGTCACGGTCGTCATCATTATCATAATCATCAGCTCCATGTCCACCATCATCATCTTCTCAAAGGTACAGCATCATGATAATCCTTTGTGTGGTCATCGTGGCCCTCCTCGGCGTCATCGCCATTGTCATCATCGCGTTGATTATGATCCACATCGGAATTGAAGATCGATATCATCGGGCACAGGAGTACAGGTCTGCGGATTATACATTTTCTCTTGGTGCCAGGATTCTTGTGCGTAGCAGAAAACAATCATCCCGTACTCTTCGAGAAGGCCTCTATCCTTGCTATTCCTGCTTGATACCAACCTTCCACGCAACACATGCACTCCGGAAAAGGACAAGCATCGGCTTTCGTAACATCGGCATCACCAAGGAGTAGAAGACGCAGCTGGCCCACATCGCCCTTCCGGCACACCTTCCACGTAGCCGTCTCACCCCGGTCGTCAGAGACATCCGGATCCTGGAATGCAAAGAGTGCTCTTGCGATAAGCTCCGCTGCCTCCTTGCTGTTCTCGTTCTCGGCTGCTTTCAGAATCTTCTGCTTGCAGGCCTTGTAGGCAGCATCCTCCTCGGGCAAGAAGCCGTTCGTGAGGACGGAGATCTTCATGGGGCGCCCAAAACCCCCCCACGAACGGGGCCCATGCAGGGCTCCTCGCATCTCCCCCAGTTCTGAGACGAAGGTGACCCTGAAGTAGGGCATCTTGAGCTGCTCGTGACATTGCATCCTCAAGTAGCCAAGGAAATCCGCCTCTTCCCGGCATCGCTGCACGGGCACGGCAAAGTGCGGAACCCCTGTGATCGCTGCCCTCAGCACCACCTCGGCTTCGTCGGCTGTGCCACCATCGCTACACCGCTTGCCCTGCATTCCCAAAGCCAGCCTTTGCTGATTCTTCCGACGGACATCCGCCTGCCGGAAGTGGCGAACTCTGCTCCAAGTCCACAGCCAGCACTGTGAAACTGCACCTGTCCTGGATGGTGCACCCGACTGTTTAGGTCAAAAACAGCTCTCACAAAGAACGGCAGCTCGAGCCTCAGGCTGCAGGAATGCAGTGCTGCACCTGCAAATCCATGCTAGCCTCCGACGGTCCATGCTCTTGGGTTGGACTTGATGCCCCTCTCATGGCCATGGACCACCCTTTTCGGATTTTCCGACTCCCTCGCAGCGCGTGGCATCCACCTCTTGCGCACGGCTTCCTCAGGGATGCACCAGAGATCACACGACCCTTCGCCCGAAATCCCTCCACGGAAACTGGATATCCCCATCTGCCTACCCAAGGGATGCCATATCATATACTTTGTTCGACTCTGATGTGATATAGTATAATGCATTATCCTATATATTTGTTATACTATAATGTAATACAATAAAATTACAGTATAATGCACATTATACTATAAGAGCTTTGTCTTCTAACGACTGGGTTTCCAGCAAGCCCGCAAAGGCCTGGCTCTGAGCCGAACGTCTGCAAGCGGGGGAGCTGCGCTTCTCGGCGGCCGCTGCCTTCGTGCGCAAGTTCTCCCTAGTCTGGTAGGGGTTGTAAGGATTAGATCAGGTTTGGAAGAATGATTCTACATGTACAAGCTAGAGACTGTAGTCACGAAAGCTCGGCGCCACCGACCTCACGGGCTCATGGGCTCACACAGTTCCTTCGAAAGGGCAGCATCAGGAAAGGTCCGATCCATCTCAGGTTTCCCCAACCGGATAAAAGATTATGATACAACATATTTACTATACTACATATTTCAGTATACTCTACCTTATCTTACTCTATGAATTTATAGGGTTGCAACTCAATGCCCCAAGCCACGAAGGCGCCTTTTGCCCAGCCGGCCCGATGCTCAAGCTCTGTGCGGCGAGGTCCCGCTTCAGTCATGAGAGCGGGGGCGATGAGTCATTGACGGAAAAGGTGAGACAAGCGACTTCAAGGAGCCAATTGCCTTTGAGCTCCTCCGCCTCTGGGTCTTGCGTCGCTCTGTCTTTTGCATCTCTGCTCAGAGCCCTGGCCGCAGCAGCGCCACCAGCCGCTTCGCGGCCTCCTGCGCCGCTGGCGTCCCGGACGTTTCCAGCTCGGCGGCTACGCCCGGGGCTCCCGAAGCCTTCGCCTCGCTCAGGCCCTGGGGGTGGGCGCACAACTTGAGCAAAAGTTCCGCGGCCGCCTCCTGAGCTCTGTCGGTGCCAGTGCCGCCCATCAGTTTCACCAGGCCAGGGACCGCTTTGGCTTTCACGATGGCCGCCACGTTCTCCGCGTTCTCCGCGAGGTCGTTCAAGATCCCGGCCACGCTGTGCTGATAAAAAGGGTGGCAACGGTTTGACAACTCTGCCAGCGCAGGGATCCCGCCGGCTTCCACAATGGCCACACGGGTGTCCTCGCGGGACGAGAACGGCCGAAGCGCCTGCGCGGCCGCCCCCCGCAGCCACGAATCGGCGTTTAGCAACGCAATCAATGGGTCGATCGCTCCCGCGGATGCGATGGAAGCCTTGTTGGCCTCGGCGATTTCGGTGGCCTCCGGCATGGGGACGACCTCGCGGTCGACGACGATGCAATCCGCCACCAAGTAACCGAGAGCTGCTGCTGCAAAAAGGTTGGCATCGCCCGTGCCTGTCGTCAGACAACTCACCAGCGGAGGGATGCCACCGGCCTCGGCGATGAGAGCCTTGTTCTCTGCGTTTTGCGCCAGATACGCAAGCGCCTCTGCAGCCGCACTCTGGACCTTCACATTACTGCTGCTCAGCAGCTCCACCAGTGGAGGGATCCCGCCGGCCTCGGCGATGAGAGCCTTGTTGTCTGCGCTGGTCGCCAGCTCCTTAAGCGCCCTTGCGGCCGCGTTCTGGACCTCCGGAGTGCTGCTGCTCAGAAGCGCCAGCAGTGGAGGGATCGCCCCGGCCGCCGCGATGGAGGCCCGGTTGTCGGAGTCGCGGAGAGCCAGCCCAGCAAGCACCGTTGCCGCCTGCTCCTGCGCCTCGACATCGGCACCCCGCAGCTTCTCCACGTAATCCCTCCTGAAGCGGTCGGCCTCAGCCTGCACCCTGGCAGCTCTCAAGGGGTCGAAGGCCGGCTTCTTGAAACCCGAGACCTCGTTGCTCCTCGTGTCCCAAACGTTGGACACCTCCTCTGTCACCTCCCACCAACGGACTTTCTTGGTCTTCCGGGTGCGCTCTGGCCGAGACGGCGTCGGCTTCTGGTGGTGTGGCTTCTCAGAAGCGGCTTCCTGCTTTGCAGGCTTCTGCTGCTTTGCATCTGCAGCGGCTGCCTGCCATACCTTGGCCGCGGCATGGGACTGGTGCTTCGATGCGGCCTCCTCCTCGGACGGCCTGTTGCCTTTGTAGCGCACGTTGCTCAGAAAGTCGA